TCAGAAGAGGAGATCCAACTCAGCCAAATGGTGATGAAATTCTGGGCCAACTTTGCTCGGAATGGGTGAAGCTGGTGACCAGGATGGAGCAGGGTGGGAGGGTCGGAAGCTCATACCTATTGAGAGGGGTAGTGTCTAAGGTTTGGGTGATCAGATTCCTGACTCTGTTACAAGGGAATAACTCCAAAACGTTAGTTATTCAGTGAGATGGAGAGCTCCTCATATCTTGCAGATGTGAGAGTGAGGGGGCCTCTAAGTGCCTCAGAGGGGTTTTGGTACTGCGGAGAAGCTTAAAGGAATTTCTATTTTTTTCTGTTCCCAGCAACCCCAATAGGGAGGGGTTGCCCCATTGGCCAAAATATGATCAGAAGGAAGGGTATCTGAAGACTGGTGCCATCACACAAGCAGCCCAGAGCTGAAAGACAAGGAGTGGCTTTCTGGACAGAACTACTGGCCAAGCAGGTGGTGGAGAAATCACCCTAGACAGAACACGTGGAGTGGGAAGTGTGAGACCCAGCCAGCCTCAGGAATATGAAGGAACCAGGAGTGGGGTATTCCACAGGCATTTGCAGGTCAAAGAGGCATCTGATTGTGGAGGCTGGAGATTGTTCTGGTGCAAAGAGGCAGAGGCCAGGGGAAGAAATGTACTTGTGACAGCAGTGAGGTGAGTAAATATTCACGGGGGACCACATCATTGTCTTTGTCTAGGACTGGAGGTTGGTCCATCATCCAAGAGAGTGAGGGGTGAAGAGAGAGCCACCATCAATAGGTAAGTGACTACGCTGGTGTTGATGTGTTCACTGGACTAGCAGCGTGCGGGAGGCAGGGCCCTTGGAGGTATTAGGTAGGTGCTGGACATAAACCAGTCTCTGGGCCACCGAAGATTTACACAATAGGCAATGGGCATTCCTCTCCTGTCTTCCAGAATTAGACGTGTGAATCATCAGTGTGAAGCCGGCGCCGTGGCTCAATAGGCTAATCCTCCACCTTGCGGCGCCGGCACACCGGGTTCTAGTCCCGGTTGGGGCGCCGGATTCTGTCCCGGTTGCCCCTCTTCCAGGCCAGCTCTCTGCTATGGCCAGGGAGTGCAGTGGAGGATGGCCCAGGTGCTTGGGCCCTGCACCCCATGGGAGACCAGGAAAAGCACCTGGATCCTGGCTCCTGCCATCGGATCAGCGCGGTGCGCCGGCTGCAGCGGCGGCCATTGGAGGGTGAACCAATGGCAAAGGAAGACCTTTCTCTCTCTGTCTCTCTCTCTCACTGTCCACTCTGCCTGTCAAAAATAAAAAAAAAAAAATCATCAGTGTGGAGTGCTTCTGTAAAGGAATGGGGCTGGTGACTGCCAAAGTGTTCCGATGCTGCCGATGCCCACATCCCCTGTTGTAGTGCCTGGGGGTTCAAGTCCTGGCTGCTTGTTTCCAATCCTGCGTCCTAGGATGGGCACCCTGAGTGGTGATGGTTCACATACGTGGGTCCCTGCCACCCTTGCCGGAAACACGGTGGGCGTTGTGGGCTTCTATGCCACGCCCAGCTCTGTGGGCACTCGGGGACTGACCCAGCTGATGAAGATCTCTCTCCATCTGTCCTCTCCTATCTCTCACTGTCTCTGCCTTTCAAATAAAAGAACCAAAACATCATGAAGGGAGAGGGGGACACCAGCATGTTTGCTGTCCATTGTATTTCTTCTGTGAACAAATGTTTACTCAAGTTCTTAAGCCAAACAAAAATTTTGCCTGCAATTATGTACTTGAAAAACAGAGGCAGAGACAGACAGACACACACACACAGAGTGGGTGGGGAGGGAGATCATCCCAAGGTCACCATTTTTCCAGGTATTTTGTTTTGGACACGGGTGTTTTTCTTGTCTACTGTTTTCTTTGCCCTGAGACAGGAGCTCGGCTGCTTAGGAAGCTGCACAAGTGAAATGCCCCAAGGTTCAGCATGGAAGACCTGGGTCCTCAGGAGGGTGCTGCTGTATGTTTGTTTTCTGATAGCTCTCACTGCCACACTGGAAGGAGCAGGAGGCGCATCAATGAACTTACTTTGTCCCTGAGTGTGGCAGGGAGAGGAGGGGCCAGTGTTGTGGTGTAGTGGGTAAGGCCACCGCCTGCAATGCTGGCATCCCATATGGGTATCTGTGTTCTGGCTGCTCCATTTCTGATCCAGCTCCCTGCGATGGCCTGGGAAAGCAGTGGAAGAGGCCCAAGTGCTTGCACTCCTGCCACCCACACGGGAGACCTGGACGGAACTCCTGGCTCCTGGCTTTGGCCTGGAACAGTCCTGTGTGTTCTGGCCATTTGGGGAGTAAACCAGGGGAAGGAAAGTCTGTCTGTCTGTCTCTCCCTCTCTGTCTCTACCTATTCCTCTCTCTATGTAACTCTGAATTAAAAAAAAAGAGAGAGGAAAAATAGATAGTGAGAGAAGCCAGTCCCTCTGTCACAATTGACAATCAAACCTTTGCAGTCTGGCTTTGGGGAAAGAGTGCCATCGATGGATCCCCGAGTAAAGATTCTCTCACAGCCTGTGAAAGGCAGCCCAGCCCCAGGCTGTTGTCCCACAGTTGATGTGAACGGGAAGTTTTTGTTTTTGTTTGTTTTTAACGATATATGTATTTGTTTGAAATGCAAAGTTACAGAGAGGCAGAGAGAGAAAGAGAAAGAAAGAGGGAAGTTTTCCATCTGCTGGTTCACTCTCCAGATGGCCCCAGTGCCTGGAATTGTGCAGATCGGAAGCCAGGAGCCTGAGCTTCTTCTTGGTCTCCCACAAGTTGCAGGGGCCTAAGGACTTGGGCCGTCTTGTACTGCTTTCCCAGGACACAGCAGAGAGCTAGATGGGAAGTGGAGCAGCCGGACTGGAACTATTGCCCATATGGGATGCAGGCAGTGCAGCGGTGGCTCCAGCCCTAGTGAGAGGTTGTGAAGGTCCATCCAACCCTCCCATCAGAGCAGCTATGCCAGGTGATGAATGAGAAGTGGAACCATTGAACCCCATGGACATGAGACTCCTGCTTCACCTCTTTGTTATGAAAGAGATTCCTTGATTAAGGAATTGTTCTCTGGGGTCTATGACCACCACTGGGTCTTCTGAAAGCATCACAGGAAGGAAGAGAAATCTCTGTACCTGTACCTGTACCTGTCGCTGTGGCTGTGTCTGTATCCACATGTGTGTGTGTGTCTCTATCTAAGCTGAATCTCTCTATATATACACCTTTGTCTACCTGTGTATCTGTATCCATTTCTGTATCTAAATCTCTGTCTCTCTGTATATCTGTGTTTGTACACACACGTATGTCTGTATTCCCGTCCAGATCCACAGTTGTGTATCCATGTCCACACCCGTATCCACACCTGTCTGTAGATCTACCCAGAATCTATTCCCGTGAGGACAAATCGCTGCTGCTTCCATGATGCACACCAGCTTTCCAGCAAGTGGCCAGGGAGGGGCCCTGGAGGCAGAGCATCCACCAGCATGGCCAGGGCCTGATCCCCCAGCCAGGACAGAAACCCTGTGTAGGGACCCGGGATTGGGCATGAAGGGGTACAGGCAGGGGCCGGCTGCAAGAAGCCTCCATTCCAGGGGAGGGGGTGGCCCTGCGCTGTGCCGCACACAGGAGTCACAGCAGGGGCAGGGGATCATCTGGGGATCCGGTCTGCTGACCACATGGACAGTGAGGGCCAGGGGGAGAAGGAGTCAGGGCACGGGGACCAGCAGGGCTTCAGGTGCTCGCTGCTGCCAACAAGTCCTCCTGAGCATCCAACAAGACCAGGAGCCGCCTGCTCCCTCCTCACTGCAGTGCTGCTGCTCAGGATCCCAGGGCTCACACAGGGCTGGGAGAGCAGCTGCTCCTGGAGCAGGCTCCCCACGCCCTCTGCCCACCCTGGATGCAGCCATCTGGCTCCCCCATTCCCCATGCAGGGAGCAGATGAAATAGGTGCAGTCCAGGGTGTGCTCTGAGGGAACAGCGATGACAGGGCCATGGGTATTGGGAACTGGACTGACCCTTGCTCTCAATCGTGGCCTACCCTACATGGTAATATTGGCCAGACTAGACAAGAAAGCTCGCTACCCACAGAGGGCCATGTTGGCTTCTGCTTTCATCTCCAGAGAGCACAAGTGAGCACTTGTGGCCCTGAGCCCTTTGTAGGACACCCAGTGACATGAGCCCAAGTCCAGGTTGGAGTTACACACATGTAGTCCAGCCATTGCCACACCTGGATCCTGGAAGGTCCTGGTCCTTCCAGACACATGCTTAGCAGTGAACCTGAACCACGAGGGTGGCGCTGTGGCCTTCAGATGAGCTGGGTTCAGCTCCCTTTTGTGAGGCAGAGAGTTGAAGAAGGAGCTGGTGAAGTTGGGAGGTCAAGGGCCAGTGGGCAGCTGGAGGCCAGGCAGGGACCCCACCCATGGGATGGTCCCCCAGCTCATTCCTAGAGCACGAACGTGTGCCCTTACCCTGTTCCCCTGTCTCAAGAGCACGCTCTGCCCCAGATGAGGCTGCCGAAGAATGGAGGCTGACCCCAACAGGAGAGTGCCCACCTGACTGGGCAGCAGGTGTCTGCACTTAGCCCCCAGGGTCGAAGTCCAGGGCCACCATGAGGGGACACCGATGCTCCTTGACTTTCTCAGGTGACTGACCTACTGGTCCTAGGTCTGTGTTCTCTGGAGGCCTCTCTGGCCAGTCCCAGTTTCAGGAGGTCTGGAGGACTGGATTCATGGAGGAGGGGGAAGAAAGGCAGGGAGGAGTTGGACCCACGGAGGGGAAGGGACGCTGGACCTCGCCAGCCCAGGATAGGGGCCTGAGGTGACCTCACACCTCACACAATGCTGTGCACAATGTCAAATGCCATGGGGCATGGGGACCCTCAGGAATCAATGGATGGCCGGGAACCAGGCCTCTGGCTGAGATTGGGGCCTGCAGTATCTGTTGCCTTGCACGAAGTCCATTGGGAACCTCTGCAGACAGGCCTTGAGGGACACAAGAATGGACCAAACCCTTCAGAAACAAACTTTTTATTCTATTTCCATCAATAAGGGGCAGGGGGAACCCTGGGTCACTCCTATGAGGTTGAGGGCAACCAGCACCTCTGCTTTTGCCATCTCCACAATGTGTTGGCCACACAGTCTTGCTGCCTCCACAGGCCACCAAATTGGTGATTCAGTGCATGCCCAGACCCCAGGGAGTCAGAGAATGTTCTAAGAGGAGGGATGGGTGCCAGATGCAAGCCCAGCTCAGTGGACAGCAACCATGGACTGGATGGACTCCTCCTGACCTCAGCTACTGGGTAGGGGGCACAAAGCATACATGGGACCCTGACTTTGGGACCCAGGTGCAGGTGAGGCCAGGGGAGGCTGCTAAGGATCAGGGACCCAAGCAGTGAAGGACCCTTGTCAATAAGAAGGACACGGTGTAGGCAGGGTCCATTGACTTGCAGGGTGGTAAAGTGGTCCCATATTTTCCTGCATGGCCTCAGCGTGACAGCCTCACCATGGAGGAGGCCACCAGGCTCTGCCAGCACTCGGGGTCATGAACCCACCATGGGCCTGGCCCTAGGGATGCTCCACCCACCACTGCCTGAGTGCATGGTCTGCAGGGGCCACAGGGCAGGGGTCCTCGGGCCTGTCTCAAGTTCTGGGGGACACAGGTGGAGCTGGAGTAACAGGGGCCAGGGCAGAAGGGGCGGGGCTCACAGTTCTACTTGGTTTTGTTCTCTGGGGTTCCAGGGTCTCCAGCTGGCAAGGACTCCCTAGGCTTAGGAAAGCCAGCTCCTTGTGCCATGCGGAGGTCATCCCCTGAGATGTGGACTGAGCACAGAGGCTCTGATGCCCCGAGGAACAGGTCTGGCTCCCAGGGCTCAAGGGAGCCCTCCTCGTCACCCCACTCCTCATCGCTCGAGAAGGGCCCGCAGCAGGAGGCTTCTGCATCAAAGCTCCCTGGAGTGGAGACAGTGTCTCGGGGCTCCCCCAGGCCCTTGGTCCAGAGGGGAACCAGAGTGGCCTTGCAGGGGTCTAAGAGTGCCTGCAGGATGTCGCTATCCGGAGGCCAGCAGTCTGCGGCCAGCATGTAGACCACCAGGTCAGGGAGGGAGCCCCAGCCCGACAGCCCTTGCTGGTCCCCTGCTCGCTCCACAGGGCGGGAGAACTCGGAGGAGCCCAGGGAGAGGCCGGAGGCCCAGGCGTTGGGGGAGTCCTCTTCATGTTCCCAGTCTTCCAGCATGGAAACTTCTAGCACCTTCGTCGGGGGAGGGCAGGGAGGCTCCGTGGACCCACAGGACTGGGCATGTCCTCGGATTCCCAGGGAGGCCGTGGTGGGCTTGGTGGGCTCTAAGAGCGCCTGGAGGATGTGGCGCTGTGGGGGCCAGCGGTCTGCAGCCAGCATGTACTCCACCAGGTCAGGCAGGGACGCCGGTGCTGACAGGCTCTGCTGCTTCCCAGGGTTGTGGGCGGTGGGAGTGACAGAGGCGGCACCCAGACACTCCAGGGACCCTTGCAGGAGGCCTGCGACCCCAGGCTCTGGGGAGGCCTCCTGTGTCTTCCATGTCTCCAGCTCCCACGTGGCCTCAGGGATGGAGCACTCGACTCCTCCCACAGCCTGGCAGCAGGGTGCTGAGCCCCGGAGCTCCTGGGGCAGGGTGGAACCAGAAGGGCAATGCACTGCGGCCTCATCACCCAGCACCTCGGGCCTCCCTGGTGTGGGGAGCGGCCCTGGCTCCGCGGCCTCCAGCGTCCGGCCAAGGGGACCAGTGGGCAGCTCCTCTGGCAGTGCTGAAAGGCAAGGAGAGGCGGTCGGCTACTCGCAGAGGCCAGTGATGCCCAGGCTGGGCTGGAGCTGGGGCCCTGGGGCTCTCAAGGTACTGCCTGGCCCCTGGCCTGGTCCTGAGGACGCCTTGCTGCTGCTGCCCAGGGAAAGGTGTGGGCACCTGGGTGGGGGAGATGTGAGGGGACCCAGGAGGCTGGGATGGACCCCATGGCAGGGCTGGCTCTGGGCTCCGTGTCTGACACGGTCATCCCAGACACATGGTCTCAATAAACTCCCAGGAGGTCATTCTGTCACCTGACCCACCTGTCACCTAAGAGCCCTGACACACACCACGGGCGCTGCTATGGCAATGACAGGGACACGCCTGGCAGGTATTCGGGCACCCGGGTTTGGGCACCCACCTTGAGGTTCCATTGGCCAGGATGTGTGAAAGCCACTTGGAGCAGATGACATGGAGGAGGAAAGCCCAGGGCAGGTCCTGGGTACCTGGCGCGCCCACTCCTGACTCCCAGGGGGGATGGGGAGCATGCAAGGGGGCCCACCTGGAGGAGGCAGCAGGCAGCGGAGCTTGCGGAGCTTCGACTGGGAGGCCTGGAGCTGCCTCCCCACGACATGCTCGTCCAGGGCCCAGGCCTGGCTCAGCTGGTGCTGGAGGAACGCACTGAGGGTGTCCTGGGACAGCTGCAGGAGGCGGCCTACATGGGGTGGGGGGCAGTGGGGTGTCTGTCTGGCTCGGAGGCGTCCAGGGCAGGAACAGCACCCACGGACTCTCCACTCCCTGTCCACACACCCAGGTAGCCACTGGATCTGCAAAGTCCCCCACTGTGGTAAGGCTGAGACTCACATGTGAGGTACCCTGTCCACCCAGCCAAGGGACAGGGCCTTGCGAGGGGGTTCCTGGGGTACACTAACACCAGGTTCAAGCACGGGGCCCAGGCAGCCACTACTGCACTCCCTCAGTCCATGCTCCAGGGGCTGAGCAGGATCCCCCACCCCCCAGCCCAGCACCCCACCCTCCATGGCCCCAAAGGACTCACTCTTGTGGATCTTGAGAGCCACATAGGACATGGCCGTCAGCACGGGCTCGCCCTCCAGAATGTAAATGTCCCAGAACCTGAGGGTCACTGGGAAGGGACTCTGTGGGGGCAGCAGGGGTGTGAGGATGCGGCCGTGCAGGCTGAGCAGGGAGCAGAGGGCAGCACAGGTACCCCTGCCCAGGGTGAGACCCCGGTGAGGCTGCCCCAGTTGAGGTCCTGCCACTGCTCAAGGGCTGGACTTGTCCCAGTGGGGATGTGGGGCACCTGCCAGGGGGCTGCACGTCCCTCAGGGACGCAGTGCACTGGGGAGAAGGGGTGAGGAGGACTGGCAGCATGACCACTGGCCTCCATCCGGCCCTGTGGGCACAGCTTCCCAGGTGCAGGTGTCCCTGGGCATCTTACCCCATCAGT